AAGCAACCGCCACCGCCCTCCGAGCAACCACCCCCCCCCCCGCCCCCTGCCCTCGCCTGGTTTTAAACCGGTCCCGGTCATTCTTGTCACTGACACAGCCTTTCCTTCTCTAGCCTCTACACCTCTCCCGACCATCAGAAACGAAGCCGGCACCTGCCATTGTCAACGACCCAGGAATTCTCTCTTCGGTTCTCCAGTTTTCTAGTCACCCCCACCTTACCCCCTTCCAAGGCAGACAGCCTCGGCTCCGAGCAGGGATATACAACAGCCCGCTGACTGTTCTTCCCTCACTCCCCATCCAACCACACCCCCAACCCCCGAGCATTTTTGAGCGCCAGGAGAAAAGGGAAGGCTGTGGCCAACAGCAGGAACTAGCGCCGGGAACGGGATGTTCCAGCCCGAACAGGGCTGACATCACGACCGGCGCGGGGCCAGGGATTGAAGGGGGGAATCGCGGAGAGCTCGGAAAGCCTGGAGGGGTCCTGGTGCCGTAGCGAAAACCTGGGGTCCCGAGTGACGAGAAAGGAGGCGGGGGGCATGCTTGCTGAGGGTCGGGTGTGGAGCCGGAATAGCTGAAGCCGGAAGCGAAGCTGGAGGTAAAGTAAGCGGGTCAGGAGTTTGGACACGGGTGCAGGGTGGCGTGAAACACCTACGTCCCGGGGGGCAGGAAGGGGGTGGACAGCGGCGAGAAAGGCAAATTATTGGTGTCATCTGAGCGCCCGGGCCGAAAGCGTCCCATCTGGCTGCAAGTGGTGGCGTTCCGGCTCCGAGCCGGAGACCGCCCCAAGGTGGCGGCGGAAATGCCTACCTGGCCGCGCGAACGCCCTCCGGCCGCTTGCCCACCTCCGTTGCAGCCCGCAGCCGAGTGGAAGCTCCGCGGGGCCAGGAGGCGGGTTGCATAATGCCAGGCACTGTCCCTCATTGGCCTACTGCCGACGGAGCCGCAGGCCCCGCCCCGGATTGGCTGGGGATCTCGTCCTGGCGCCTGATTGGCTACTGGCCCCCACTGAGGTCAGGGCTGTGTCACACACACGGGCGCACGTGGATCTGGGTGCTGGCGCTGGACTGAAGGGCCCCAGACGCCACCGCCCAGCCAATGGGTGCAGGACGCCTTGCACAGTGACTAGTGGAGGGGAAAGGAGGCAAGCTGCCCCTCCAGGGAAAATGCCTGGGCCACCCAGTTAGCTTAAGAGTTGTCTACTTCCTGAAATGACCAGTCTTGCAGAACAGGACACCTTGGCCTTGTCAGAGGTGGGGGAAAGACTGGGAGGTGGGTCAAACTAGATGAAATGGTTGGCACTTGGAAGGAGGGGGACAGAGAGAAACATAGCTTGGGTTTTCCTCCCCAGCCTTGTTATAATAAAGCTGTTTTATCTAATCCCTTCCTATGACACTTCAAATCCTGTGTACAGACAGGAGAAGAGCAATTGAGAGTCCACGTGTAATGGGAGTGGAGAGGTGGAGGGGAAGGTTGCAAACAATAGAAAAGGCAGCCAGAGCCAATAGGGACTGTGAAGGGAAACAATGGCAGGTGCTTCTGAAGCTAATCAGAAGATAGCTCTCCTGGAAGCCTATGCGGTGACTAGTGCTTCTCTTCTGAGGATGCAACCACCCACACTTTTGAATACCCCAAAAGTGAAGGCCAGGAAGCCAGGGCTTCAAGGAAACAAAGGTGATGGGTGAGAGAAGAGGCCACTGTACCCTACACAGAGAAAGGTGTAGGCTTCAGAGCCCCACCACACTAGGAAAAGAGCCAAGGACCTTATCTTCTTCACTGTACTCCCCAAACCGGAGAACAGATCCGACTCATGGCAAGTGATCAATATACATGGTAATTTTGTTATTAATAGGGAAAATAGAAGATGGGTGGAGCAATGGCAAACAGGCTGGAAGTTATAATATTTTTTAGAGCGGGGGAGCAGAACACTAGGTCCTAAAAAGAACAGGGGCCTAATTTCGGGGGACAAAGTGTCAGGCTGGGCCAGGAGATTTGCAGTTACATTGACAACTGCCAGCTCTCCCACTGCCCCCCTCCCCCCAACACACACATCCAGCATTGTGGTGAGTAGTTCCTATTAGGGTTCCCTAGAAACGTGTGTGTCAAGTGAAGAGGTCCGCAAGCTGATGCTGACATAATCGGCTGTGGGTGCACACCCCTCACTGTCACATGGCCTAAGCTTTCCTTAACAATGGTGTTCCCCATGGTGGAAGTGAAGGGGGCGGGGTTCTACTGAAAAGCTGGGACACGAGGAGGTTATAAAACAACCCAGGAAGCCAAAACAAGAAAACACGGGAAAGAAAGGATTCAGGAGCCTGTATTCTCAGTCTCCTCTCCTTGAAAATGCCCCCCCACACACACTTCATCACTGCCCCGCCTCTCCCCCCCCCCACATCCACCCACTGTCTCACGCCCCTTCTCTGGAAACATTTATTTTTTCTTCCCCAGCTCTCCTGAGGGATTTGGATGTCATCTCTCCTGACATAGGCAGTCCATGCTCTCCCACCTCCACCTCTACATCTACCTTTTCGCATAGACAAAAGGTTTCAACGCTCCAACAGCCCCCCACCTGCTCCTGAGGCCCCTGGTTGTCCGGCCTCACGTCCCCACAGTAACTAGGCCCTGCTGCCGTCAATGAAAAAGAGGGGGCGGGAGTCGGCCGTGACGTCAAAGCGGAGCACGGGGGCGGAGCAAGGCAGCCGGGGAATGTGGGGCAGGGAGGCTGGAGAGGCAGCGGTTTGGGAGGCAGCCAGGCCGAGAGGGCGGCGGCCAGCGCACTTGGGAACATCATGTTCTTTTGGCTGGTGGCCCAGTATAAGCACCCAGACCGGACTCCTCCCCCAATCCAACAACTGCCGTCCTGTCCCAGAGTCAGGGATTCCTGGATAGATGATAGATGATTAGGAGGTCCTTCTCCTCCTCCACCCCCAAACCTCTTCTAGATACTTGCATCTGCCGTCCCCTCAGTTTGCTCCCACAGCGCCAGGAACTGGCTGTCCCCCTCTCCCAAATTACACGTTTGCTGGCCAGGTACCAAAGAGCCAGGGTGGGGAAGTTGGAGCCCCAGGCTCTATGAGAGAATTCACACCTTTGCTCTCTCCCAGAGGTTCCCTTCGGAACTGAATCTGCTACTATGGCAGCAGCGAGAGGGAGGAGGGGCCGGGAGGAGAATGGGTGTAAGATGTGGAAATTCAACTGGGGCAGAGCAACGGGCCATGCAAGCCCGGGGCCTGAATCCAAGAAAGTATAAAAGGGAGGAATGAGGGGTTTGTCTGGTGCCTGAAGACCAGAAGAACCAGGAAGAGGGAAATAGGGAGGGGACTCACCAAAACTTGGGAGAAAAACTCAAGAATGTGAGGATAGTGCCCAACCACAACATTCACATAAATCTCTCACTTTGTCACTGTTGTATTGGTGACTCCGTAGCCATTTTTTAGCTAAAAAAAAAAATTAAAGCATGATCCAGGCATTGTGCTAAGTATGTTACATACATCATCTTATTAATTCCAGGACAACCCTGTGAGGTGGGTATTATCCCCATTCCACAAGAAAGCACTAAGGTTCAGAGTTACTAAACTGGGCTAAATTGCCTCATACTATGTATGTTCTTAGCTGTTAACAAATTGGAGCCTAGGGTTAAAATCTGAGCTCTGACAATGGCCTGTCCTTCTGGCTTCTTACCCTTACCCAGGAACCTGTGAGTTGTTGCCAAGGACTGAGGACCCTGGGTCTGTCAAATATGGGAGCTATTGTGTCAGGAACCAAATTCCATCCCAGCCCTCCTCTCTCACCATTGGGCCCAATGTGAAGCCCTTCAGTTTACACTCCCCACACACTTTGAATCATCACAGCCTCAGTTTTTACAAAGTTCTTCAAATCATCATAGCAGCCACCAGCCCCACTGATTTCCTAGGAACCCCACTTCCTCACCGTTCTCACCCCAGGTCACTTGACCACACACCTGGTTGGTTGTACAGATACCAGAGCTCCCTGTTGTTGCCTCCCTCACCTCCAGGGGATCAGGAAGGCACGTGCACAGTCAATCTGCACAACTGGCACCTCCCTTTCAGGACCTAACGGGTTGCTACCCCAACTTTACTCCCAAGAATGGTTCTAAGCACAACTTCTCCCCCCCCAACACACACACACAATTTTACACATGAGAAAGACATTCAGAGTTGCTATGTGACTAGATCAGGGTAACACAAATCATCACATCACCCTTTCTCTAATCATCATGTCAACCCTTTGATATCCTCCCACCTGCCCTACCAGGGCCTCCCTTCCAGTCTCAGAACACCTGCCTTTTTCAAGTGCTTAAGGCACCTGCCCAAACAGTAGACACACACTGGAACAACCCCCACCAGCTCTCAGAGGTCTCACCCCTCTACCTGGGTGTCAGCTGCCTCAGATAGTTCTGGGCTTGGAAAGCTCTTCCCCCCACAAGCCAGATAGGTTTGCAGGTACCCTGGGGAGGCAAGGGATCTGATGTCAGTGACTTTCGCCCCTCATAACTCCAGAGCTTAGCTCAGTCTCTTTCCCACAACACCAAAGCTTTCGCCGCGGAGATCACGCATTCGCCAGGCCCGCCCTCGCACCACCACTGAATTAACACCCCTCCTAACAGGACACACCATTCCAAAAAACCCAGACCGGCCGCCGCTTATCTCCCCCGACCCGAGAGCACTCACCACCCAACAAGCACACAGACTCCACAATGTCTTCGCTCCCAGACCTCAGTAACTCGGACTCGCTCCTTGAGGCCCTCCCACCGCTGGGGTCGCCACGCCCCTCAAGCTTATTGGCCTAAGGGCGCCGACCCATGCCCCGCGCCGCGTGCCGCCGCCGGGCCTCAGCACCGCCGCCATTGGCGCTGCAGACTGCCATCATCTCCTCATTGGTCCGCTCGACAGCCGGCCGCGGCAGAGCCACTTGCGGGGGGGCCGCCCTGGAGCGCTGATAGGCAATCTGACATAAGGCCACGCCCCCGCCCACTGCCGACGTTCTCATTGGCTGTGGGAACATCCGCCGACCGGCCTACATCCGTGAAGCAAATGCCGGTCCAGCCCTCCAAACTTTCTCATAGGCTGGGGGCTCGGAGCTGTAGGGTACACGTGCCGGCGGTCTCACGCGGCAACTTGTTTACCTAGAAGCTGGGGATTTTCCTTGACGACACTGTTACCCAAGACTGCGCAGCTTGCGCAGGCGCAGCAAGTGTGACCTGGACGCAGGCGCAAATTCGAGCTGCCGTGGCGTTAGGGCGGGCGCGTTACAGCCGACGGGAGAGAACGGCAGGGGGGAACCAAGAGCACCCTCCGCCCTGGGACTCTGGTCCTGGGTCCCTGACGCTGGACTGTGATAATTGGGTGAAGAACTCAATGCTGCGTGCAGATAATGACGAGGAAGGTAACAGCCACCTCCTGATTGTTTTGTTTTCTCACGAACGGGGAGGCCACCTAATTTACTACCCACCGCCTCACAAATGACTAGATCCAGAAAGTTACATAATCTGTCCGAATTAACACACTAGTAAGTAACGGGGTCAAGATTTGATCCCAGGTCCCTGAAACTATAAAGAGGTCCTGGTGCATATAGAAAGCCTAAACCTGTATTCAGTACATTTAGTGCAGAAAAGCCCTGAGTACTGTCTGGAATATAGTAAACCCTTAATAAATGGTGGATATTATGACTGTGTAAAGAATCACCTGGGGGCCTCTTTGGTGGTGCAAGGGGTTAAGCACCGCACTACGAGGCAATCTGTAGCACGAGTTCGATCCCCAGCCAGCCAGGGAGCAATCCACATGGCACAGCAGACCTCTCCTGACTCGCCCACTGCTCCTCTCAGCAGTGTACTTCAGTCAATCTGCCTGTTCTGTTCCCCACTCTGTGTCTCTGGTGAATCCTCTCACCCCTGGCATCTCTGACCTGTATCCCAGCTCTTGTGTGCATAAATAAATCAATCTTAAAAAAAAAAGAAAAAATCACCTGGGTCCCCAAAGCTGTTGAATTAGAACCTCCTGGGAAGGGACCTGAAAACCTATTTTTTAAAACAAACAAAACACCACCATCACCACCACCATGGGCCCTTCCGATGGTGCAGCACTGTCTCAGCGCTATGAAGCTATCGCCAGCCACTGCAGCATGTGTTCAATTCCAGGCAGGGAGCTGACCCACATGGCACAGCAGACCTTCCTGTCTCGCCTACTGCTCCCCTTAGCAGTGTATTTCAGTAAAATCTGCCTGTTCTGATTCCCACTGTCTCTGGTAAATCCCCTCACCCACCTATATCCCAGTTCTTGTATGCATAAATAAATATAAATCTTTAAAAAATTAAAAAAAAAAAAAAAACACCTTGGAGGCCATAGGAGCCGCTGAGTTTAGAAAACACTATCCAGGTTTCCTATACTCCTGAATCCCATACTGCACCCAGAGAGATCAACTCTTCAGAGCTTTCCCTTCATGCTCCACTCACTGTTGAAGTGCCTGGGGACCAGAATGCTAGGGTGCAGGTAGGAGCACCATGGGACCCGGAGGTTAAGGGAGTTCAGCATAGGGTCTAGAGTCACCTGTTAGACATCACAGAGTGCAGAATGCCTGGATACCAGGCCATCTCTAGTCAGTTCCACACTACTCAGCTGTATCTCCCCAGAGTTGATTCTTTCAGTGATATATTTTTCTGGACTTTGGCGCTGTGCTAGCCACAACTGGGAAGAGATAGTTCACACAAACTGGTCATCTACTTCAGGATGGGATTAAATGATCACGGGAGCAGCTGCAGAGCATCTAGGAACTAAGTCTAGGGGTAGAAAGGAATAAAACAACAGAAGCATGGCCCCAAAGGAGAGGGAAAAGCTGGGGAAGTCCAGACATTAGGTTCATCTGGCTGAGACACAAGGATGGCCAACATTTCCCATTATAAACTCCTGCTGCCCCATTGTGGCCACTTTGGGAATCACACTTTGCCATGCCCAAGGTCAGGTCCTCCTGCAAAGTGCAGGCCCTTCCCAATGTATCTTCTCAACCTTTCAGTTACACTTGCAAATTCAATACCCTCCCCACTGCTTAAGAAGAGACACCACCTTTATTACTCATTACACATTTATTGTACATTTTCACAATCTGGATGCGCCACAGAATTGGGGGCATGGGGTGAGGGAAGGGGGGGCAGGGGACACTGGGATAAAATGGGGGGTCTAGAACACAGCACCCCCACCCCCAGCATCTCTCCCTACCCTTTCACACTACAGCTTAGATCTCCCTGCTCCCCCTCCACACAGAAACCTTGAGTGTGGGGGGAAGAAATTTGGGGGATCCCCTCCAGTGGCAGGTTAAGGGATTGCACCCTCAGACCCCTAAAATTGTGCCATCGAAAAATACATACCCTTCCTCTATCACTTCACCTAAGGAGACAGCTTAGCCGCCCTGGAGAGGGGCAAGAATCCCCATCTTCCAGCAAGTCCCATACACACATTGGCAGTGACTAGTACCCCCACCCTGAATTCAGGGGGGCAGTCAGAGGAGCTGGGCAGTGATGGGGGCAACACCCCCCAAATTGGGGAGGAGGATTTTCAGTTCAATTCCCAGCAGGGGTGGGGCCAGAGGAGATTTCAGGCAGGAATTGGGGGGATTCTCTGCCCTGCCCCATTCCTCCCCAAGGCAGTGATGACCCCCCACACACTGGTAGCCACCTCTCCCAAGAGATCAGATTGTGGCCAACCCCCAACTCTCCTGGTGGGAGGAGGCGGAGGCAGATCAGGCAGATGGGAGGGAGGGAGACCCCATGGGAATGTCAGTTGAGTGCCCCACATGAAAACTGGGGAGCTGGAATGTGGGGAGACTCCAAGTGGCAGAATTATTGGTCCATCATAACACACTGAACTCCAAGACACTTACACACCAGCTGGGGGGGAGGAAGAGGAGAGGACAATAGGTTTGGAAAATGGGGGTAGGGGAGGCAAACTGGACTAGAGAAGGTAGGAGGGGGAGTTTCTGGGGGCCAGAACAGCCTGACTCCCCAAAAGCCCAGGCTCCCCACCACCTGCAAGTAATGTCATGCAAATGAAAGTGTGATACAAGGACCAATGGATAGTAACTCTTAAGTAAAAAAGAAACATGAGTCCAAAAATGAAGAGTGATGGAATAAAAAAGAAAGAAATCAAGAGATGTCAAAATGCAAATGAATGCTAATTAACATGCTGGAAGCTCCCAGAAGAACTTGGGATTCTTAGGACCAAGTGGGGTGAGTCTCAGAGCCTCCCAGTGATGCAAAGAAGATGCACCTAGGGAAGCCTGGACAGTTGCTTTTTGTTTTTTGTAGAAGGGGAGGGACAAGGGCATGGGGAAGGTCAGGGTGAGAGGAAGGATCAGTTAAATCCAAGGGAAGGAGAGGAAGAGGGACTATTGCATAGCAGATGCAAATGAAGGAACTTGGGACTGGTCAGGGAAAGAGGGAAAGGGGAGGAGGAAAAGAGAAAGGAGGTGATGGGAATTTCAGGAAGGGGTGTTAAGGACAACCGGAAAAATCTTCTAGTAATAAAACTACAAACAGACCAAATATATATAATATTATATATGTATAAATAACAGCTGGCTATTTACAGGGGGGGCACACACACGGGGACACACACACACGGATCCACGGGAGGGGGGCTGGAAGATATGGCTGAGAGGTGGAGGAGCGGCTGGGGATGGGGGAGAGGCCCTTCTCTGGGCAGGGCAGGCTCCTCAGGGATTTAAGAGCTGAAGTAAACTGTAGAGAGGGAAAGAAGGAAGAGGGAGCGGGGAGAAAGAGAGAAGAGAGAAAGCAGTGTATCAGGCCTGGCCCTGCTCCCATCCTCCCCACTCCCCAGTAGGCTGGCATCCCTTCCCCTCTCAGCCTCAGGTTCTCCATCTGTAAAGCAAGGGGCCTGGACAGGTGGGTTCCCATTTCTCTTCAACTCCATGGTATCTAAATGGGGTGACAGACCCCCTAATCCTCTGGCCCTCTGAAACACAAGCTCTCAAACAATAGGCTGGTTGGTTTCCTGGCCATTTCTCAAGCCTGTAGGCCTTTCCTGCTTTCCCACTCCCCAATTCCATGGTTCCCAAACTGGGGTCTCAAGTTGTAAGGATGCTCAAGGGAGTAGTGGGGATTTACTACTTTTCCTGTTTCCAAAATCTTAACAGAAATTGCCCAGAACCAGGCAAAGTGCAGGCTAAACAACATCAAAGTTTTGGGCTCTAAATGAATCAGATATGCCATGGGCAGATATATGCTTTTTCCTGAATAGTAAAAACTAAGTTAATGACCTTCAAAATCCAGAATTAACAGGGGAAACCTCTCCAGGAAAAGGGCACTAGCCACTCCTGCCTTACTCACCGATGATGATGATGAGGATGATGGCGCAAATCACTCCTAAGATGATCATCATCTAGAAGAGAGAGGGGAGGGTCAATGAGACTAACCAAGATACCCATTCACCCACCAGCACGCCTACCAGCCTTCTCATTTGCTTCCACCCTTACCTTGAGGTTTTTCCACCAGTATTTGCGCTTGAGCTTGGCTGCACTTGTTTCAAATTGGGAGGCCCCCGCCTGGAGTGCATCCGCACGGTCATCCAGCTCCGACAGCTTCTGGTCCCGTTCCAGGACCTTGTCCACGTTCACCCTCATGATATCCACCACCTGGAGGAGAGGCCAACAAGGGTGTACCAAGGACCCCCTCAACAAGGGCACTCTCCAACATGGGCCCACACAGGGAACACGCTGATGCTGCCAGGCTAACATGCCAAGGACACACACAGAACATGCCTAGCACACCAGGGGACACACAAGGAGCACATATCTAAGGTATGCTGACAGACATGTCAGGTGTCATAGCAGCACCCTCTTTTTATTGAGCTTCAAGCAGCCTGTCCTCACCAGTGCACACCTGTCCAGGGCGAAAGACCCCAGGCCAGCCAGGCTGACTAACACTAGAATGCCCACTGACAGGGAAGGGGCATGGTGACATGGTGTGTCTTTGACCCAGAACTTATTAACGTGAACTGCCCTCACTGCCCACCCAAGAAAGACCCCCCACCCCAGACCAGTTTGCCAAACCTCAGGTTCCTTCCCACTGTCTTTAATACCGCCCCCACCCCCCCCACACACACACACACACAGACACACACTCACCTCATCCACTTGGGCCTGGGTCTGCTGCAGCCTCCTGTTACTGGTGAGGTTTGGAGGGGGTGCAGGGGGACCTCCCTCCCCAGCCGGAGCGGCAGGGGGGGCGGTGGCAGCGGTAGCCGACCTGAGGGGAAGGGGCAGATTAAGACCTAAGGCAGAAGCCTCGGGTCCAGCAGCCAGGGCTCCGCCCATCCGCCTGTCCATCCATCCGTCCCTCCCTCCCTTCCCGGGAGGAAGGCCACCCGATGGGATGGGAAGCCTGGATTCCGCCCGGCCTCACCACTCAGAAGCTGCGTGACCTTGAGTGAAGTCCCCCTCCCCCCTCCGGGCCTCAGTTTCCCCTACTGTCAAATGAGAGCGACCTCACTGACACAGTGCCGGGTCCACCCAAAATGACTAGCGGCAGCAATGACAGGGGCGGGGCGGGCACACGTCGGGTCGGCTCGCCCCCGGGTCACCGCCCGCGCGTCCAGCGCGGGAAGCGGAGCTCTCCGGCCGCCGGCGCGAAGTCACGGGCGCCGGCCTGGCCTCCGGGCGCGGGGAGCGCGGGGGGGCGCGGGCCAAACCCCGCGCACTCCCGGGACCCAGTCCCATGGGCCGCGGCCAGCGCCGGGAAATGCGGTACGAACGCAGGTGGCCGACTCACATGGCGGGGGAAGCGGGCGGAGGACTTGGCAGCGACAGTGATGGCAGCGGCGGCGGCGGCGGCTCGCGCTGGCTCCGACTGGCGCTGGCTGCCCGGGACGGGAAGATGGCGGCCGCACGTCACCCACATCCGGGCACTGCGGGAGGGGGCGGGGCTCCGCGGGCGAGTCGTCGGGAGCCGGGCCGCGGGGGCGGGGCGAGGCCGGGCCGGGGTCTCGCTCGGCTGCGCTGCGGTCTGTCGGCTCGGTGCCCCCGCGCTTCCCGCGGCTCTCCTGAGTCCGCGGCCTGACTGCTGCGGCTTCCTCACGCGCACTGCCACCCGTGCCTGACCGCAGCCCTCACGGCCGCCCCCATGCCTCTCCCACCTGCCTCTTACCCCAAGATATGTCCTCCCTCACCCGTGAAACCTGTGAATCCGTGCGCACTCAGCTCAGGGACTCCACCTGCGCGCAGGTCCCGACGCCCTTGGGATGGGGGTGGGAAATCAGAAGGGGTAAATGCAGAACCCCTGGGCAATGCAGCAACTCTGCAGCTGTGGGGGAGTGGCAGGATATGGGCCCCAACCCACCACCCCGCAGATGGAGGTCTCAGAGGAGCTCTGGGGGCCCTGGTCATCTGGGTAGGAGTAGGAGAGTATGAGAGAGAGAGATGAGGCAGGCTCTCCCCTCCCCTCAACTCAGTGAAAGCTGCCCCTCCTCACAAGCTGGAGTTCGGTCCAGGGGTACTTGTCAAGCCAGAATGAGACCCGAATAAGGTAGGGCAAGCTGAGGACCCCGGGGAGAAGGACAGAAAGCTGGCCTGGGCAGCAGTACTTGGCAGCTGCAGAGGGCTCAACCTTTGGTCCGGGGTGCAGGGCCTGGGCTGAAAGGACTGGCTTTTTTTTTTTTTTTTTTTTTAGGACAGTAGGCAAGGACAGCACCTACTGTACCCAGGTTACTTGTTACTATTTTACTTGAGGATTAACCTCATAGATGTCACCTTGGACCGTTCCTGTCCTTACTTTGGACCCAAAATATATTACATATGTAGGCACTAAATATATAATTGTTAAATGACTTACTCTGGAACACGGTAGGAAATGGCTCCTCCTGTCCCTCACTGGTCTCCTTTTTGGTCTCTAAACAGACTCAACTATACACATCCACTCAGCTCATTCTTAGCAGGCCAGACACCTCCTGGAGAAGATGGGACCAGGTGAGATGTCCATTAGGTGGAGTGAGTCCAAGAAGGCCTCAAGAGTAAAGACAGAGGTGCTTTAGGGGAAGCCTAATAGCCCTTCAGTGGGGGGTGCCACTGCTTCCCTAGCAGGAGGGAGGGGCTGATGGTAGCATTGGTCTCTGACACAAACAGGACCCAGCTTCTTCCCTCCCACACTCAGGCTTCCCAAGGCCTCTGGGTGTGAGAACCTCCCCCATGCAGTGCCCCATCCCCTCCCAGCAGAAGCTGGGGGACAGGCTCTGTCACCAGAGGTGTCATTTCCCAGCTGTCTGGGGGAGGTGAGAGAGCAGGGAGCTGTGTTGGGTGTGGGGACTCAGCACATCTAAGATAAGATGCTCTCAGTTCCCTTCCCTGAGGAGCAGTCACTTCCCTGGTCTTTGTGCACTGACACAGAATGCCTGTCGGCTCAGCCTGTGTGAAAAGGACGAAACAGTGGTTTCCATGAGAATCTTAGATCCATCTGTGGGGTGCTAACTCTTTTGGCCCTGAGACTACTTCCTAGCTAGAGAACAAAGATGCCATTTCCAAACTTTTACGTTCGAAAGTCTCATTGGGTAGGTAGAGGTTGGAAGGAGATACAAACAGGAGTCCAAACCACACCCCCCTCTAACCGCCCCACCTACATACACACACATACTCACACTAGCAGGGGAGTAGTTAGTGGAAGGCCAGGGAAGATGTTATATGCTAGTTAGGTGTGGTCTGCATTTTCCCTAATGATGGAAAGGGACAGAACCTAGAATAAATCTGGGGCGCCAAGGCCAAATGAAAAGCTGGCACACTACTATTATGAGTGGATCCTGGGGGCAGCAGGAAAGAGTAGAATTGAGGACACATATGATCCATGGAGGTGGGGATGCGGGGTTTATCTTGTTGAGAGAAGAGAGGATCTCACTGAGCAGCCCCTTCCCACTTTCCCCACCTGTGCTGTGGTGCTGAAGAACGCCCCAAATTTAGATCAATGATGGAGGCAGGAGAAGGGTGGGATGAGTTCCCTGGAAATGAATAAGAAAATGTTTTCTGCTAGCAGGTAGGATAGAGAAACAAAAGGAGGTAAACTGAACTAAAGACAGACTCAGAAATTGGCGTTACTGAGATCAGGAACCTATGTTTACCTACTTCAGGTTGGCAGCTGATGGGCTCCACTTTCAAGGCTCATTCAAAGGATGTGGGAGGGGGCCCAAGTTCATTTCTAATAAGCACCTCTAGTGATTCTGATATAGACAATATGGAGAAAACCTTTATGAAAGGCCTTTTTTATTGTTTTTACAACTGACTTAGAACTTGAGGTAGAAGGGGGCTGGATCACCCACTCATGAACTTGCTGCATCCACATGAGTCAAACCCAACCAAGCTAGTAATTAATTTCAGAGATCTTTGTGTCCCTCAACGCTGCTTGTTAAAGAAAAGGCCTTCTAATTAGGGAGAGAAGTGTGCCCTTGGGAATGCTGCCTGCAGTGGGGGTGTAGAGCCTAGCCCTGCCATGGTGCAATCAGCGGCTCAAACCCTGCGACCTCTGACTGACTGCAGGGTCCAGAAGGCTCTGGGGGCTGTCTGCCAAGCCCTGGGTTTCTGGAGGGAAGAGAAACTACCAGGGACCTACTGTGTGCCAGAGGCTTTAGATGGACTGCCACATGCGTTTTTTAATCACACACACAATATGACTGCATCTTCTTAAGAATATTAAAATGGGGCCTCCCCTGTGGCGTAGCAGTTGAGTGCTGCGTTACGAAGCTGTCCGCAGCACCGGTTCGATTCCCTGCCTGCCAGGGAGAAACCCACATGGCGGGGCAGACCTCTCCTGACTCGCCCGCTGCTCCCCTCAGCCGTGTCTTAGGTCCACCTACCTGTTCTGCTCCCCACTCTGTCTCTGGTGAATTCTCTCACCCTCCCGCACTTCTGACCTGGACGCCAGTTCTTGTATAAATAAATAAATAAATCTTTAAAAAAAAAAAAGAATATTAAACGGGGCCTCCCTGGGGGTGCAAGGGCTTAAGACACAACCTATGAAGCCATCCACAGCCACTGCAACCCGAGTTCTATCCCCAGCCAGGGAGCTACCCACATGGCACAACAGATCACTCCTAGTTCGCCCCACTGCTCCCCTCAGCAGTGTATTTCAGTTGATCTGCGTCTTTTGTTCCCCACTCTGTCTGTGATGAATTCTCTCACCCTCCACACCTCTGGCCTGTACCACAGTTCTTGTTGCATAAATAAATAAATCTTTTTTAAAAAGAATATTAAAACATTAGCTATAAAGCTGAGGTTCCCTTGGCCACCCCCCAACTCATTTGTCTTTTTGTTTCACTTTCTGGAAGTTTCCATGCATCCTCTTTGGGTGGGGGGGTAGGGTTTTGCTCTATTTTCTTTTCCATTTCCAAAATGCAATATATTTTCTAATCTCCCTGAGGATACCAATTCTATTTTTCAATTTCAATATTAGATTTTAATCTAGGTAATAGGTAACACAATCAAAACCCAAAAGGTACAGAAGAATATACAGTGAACCCTGCTTTGCACTGCTCAGGATCCCTACCTGACACAGCCACTGTCTCCAGTCTTATAATTTTTTAGACTGGTGGGGCCAGAGACAAACATACATATAAATACTTTTTTTAAAAATACAAATGTGAGGGCCTCCCTGGTGGTGCAGCGGTTGAGTGCTGGGTTGCAGCCTCTGCAGCGCCGGTTTGATCCCCTGCTCCCCCCAGCAGTGTATTTTGTCACTCTGCCTGCTTTGCTCGCCCCTCTGGCTCTGGTGAATTCTCTCACCCTCCCGTGCTTCTGACTGTACCCAGTGCTTGTATAAATAAATAAATACATCTTTTAAAAAAAATACGAATATGAACAGACTATATATAGAGGGTTCCTTTTTTTTGACTTTCCAATTATAGTGATTTTTTTTCCTTATGCTCTCTAGCATCTTTGTCTCTTCTGTATTTTTCTTGGATTTTTTTGTTGTTGTTGTTTCTAATATGTGGAAGGAGTCTCTTTCATTTTGGAGGCTTTCCTCGAATAGCTACCAGTTCTTGGCTTTATGTTCATACTTACAGAGAGCCAGCCACCAACAGGCTGATTGGAAACTGCAGTGTGGGGCACTTTTAATTGATGGTAGAAACCTTTATACAGAGACCTCCAAAAATTGATAGGTGGGAGACTTTCTCTGGGGACATTCCTTCCTTTGAGAGAATATCCTCCATTCCCTACCTTGATGCAAAGGAGGGTGGGTAGATATTAGGGCCAAGATTCCTGTTTCCAGCCTCAGGACTCCCTCAGCTGGGCTTGGTGTCCCCAAATCCAAAGCCTCCCCCAAAACGAGCATGTGAGGAATGGTGGTGTGTATAATTCAGGTGTCAGGGGTCTTGACACTTTGTCACAGACTCGCAGCCACCCCTGAGTTCAACCAGGCCCTGCCCTGAAATCTGAGAGCCTCCTGGATCTTCCAGCATTGTGCTCTGATTCCACATGGCACAGCAGACCTCTCCTGTCTCGCCCGCTGCTCCCCTCAGCAGTGTATTTCAGTCAGTCTGCCTGTTCTGTTCCCTGGTCTGTCTCTGGTGAATCCTCTCACCCCCGTTGCTGGATAGAACAAGCAAGGCCTATGTCCAGCCTCCAAAACCTTCTTGGAATCTTTGTGTGATGCTGTCTTCTCCCCCCTGGTCTCTTAACCCTAGTAGATTTATGCCTCTTTGAGTTCCCTCCTGTTATTTTCTAGGTTTTGAAAGGGAGAAGACAAATGCTCAAGGCTGATCTTCCACGTTTAGCCAGAAGTCTTACTGCAGTTTAGTTCTTCAAAAACCAGGATTTATGTTATTTTCTTTTATTTTGCTATTACAACAGTACTTTTAGGAATGTTGTAAATATCTCCCATGATCAAGGTATTGATTGTCTTGGCTTTATATTTGGGAAAATGTATCTTCTGAGAAATGCCTTGATGGGGTCCCTTCATTCATTTATGTATGTATGTATGTATTTGTTTGTACAAGCACTGGATACAGTCAGAAGTGCGGGAGGGTGAGAGAATTCACCAGAGCCAGAGCAGGGAGCAGAGCAGGCAGAAGGACCGAAGTACACTGCTGAGGGGAGCAGCGGGCGTGGCGGGACAGGTCTGTGCCATGTGGGACCCTCACCGGCAGCCAGGGATCGAACCAGCGCTGCAGAGGCTGCGGGCAGCTTCGCAGCCCAGCACTCAACCGCTTCACCACCAGGGGAGGCCCTGGGGTCCCTTTATTGATTAATCAAGTTTTGTTTATTTTTTTCATACAGTAGTATCTTTTAAATTTTTTGTGTGTAAACATAATATACATATATAAAGTGCTTTCTTTTTAATATGTGTAGTTCTCCCTGCATGAGGACCAAGCACAGTGCCAGAAACAAGACAGGGAAATGAATAATTAATGATGGTGAACTACCAGCTCAGTGGGGAGTATTTTTAAAAAAGAACCCAGGGCATCCCTGGTGGCACAAGGGGTTAAGCACAGCACTGTGAGGCTATCCACAGCCACTGCAGCACAAGTTCAATCCCCTGCTGGCTAGGAAGGTGACCCACATGGTGCAGCAGACCTCTCCTGACTCAACTGCTGCTCCCCTCAACAGTATATTTCAGTCAATCTGCCTGTTCTGTTCCCCACTCTGTATCTGGTAATTCCTCTCACCCCCACATCTCTGGCCTGTACCCCAGTTCTTGTATGCATAAATAAATAAAAGAGAACCCAGCATAGCAGGCAAATGGATTGTTAGTGGTGGACTCCCAGACACCTACTTGGAGAGGATGGGTTTGGGCTGAACTGGGTGCCCAGTGTTCCTGTGAGGACAGCCCTGGTTACTTGCTACCAGTCTGGTGAGATAGCCAGCTCCTGTCACTGCAGCAAGGCAGTGTGGGTGTGGGCAGTGGGGAAGCAACATGCCAGAGCTCTGTGTGGGTGGGAAAATCCTGTGGGACTGGGAGCCTAGGGTGCCTCCTTGCCTCAAACCCTCACTCGCCCACCTTCCATTCATTGGAGATTTACTGTTGTTAATAAACTCCTCTATTTGGGAGAGGAAACAGATAGTGTGTTATTTCCCTCCTCACATGCCAAGCCCACAGCCTGGCTGGTACTACTTCTAGCCCCAGCTCCCCACATCTGCAAGGTGTCCTCTAGCAGATGACTTCTCCTTGGGCCTCATTGTGCTTCTTTGTTAAATGAGGGCTTTTTCATTCTCCAATGTCTGGTCCCTTGCGAGCATCAGTTGCTACCATAATACACAAGAAAAGAGATCAGTGAAACCTGGCAGATGTGTCGGTTATGCCTCAGTAAAGCAGAAAAAGAAATCATCATGATTCTTGATGGATGTAATGATCAAAACATTTGCCAACACAACTTTAAACTAAAAAAGGAGAATCTGAGGGCTCACTTAACTGGAACATGACTGAAACAGCAGGATCCAGGTGCACCAATGACATCACTGGGGAGCTGTTTCTCAGTCTCTGCCAGCCAGCCTCTGACTTAGCTTCATTTCCAGACAGGGAACATAAACAGCTGCAGACCCATATTCTTTTAAAAATGGTACCGTTTGTATGTTTTCTTTTTAAGTGTATGTGGTTAAAAATTCCAAAAGTTCAAAAGAGCAGATGGAGAAAATCTCTCACCCACCCAGCCTTCTGCCCCTCACAATCAGTTCTCCTACTTCTTCGTGCCTCCTTCCAAGATGTTCTGTGCACATGGCTTTCCACTTTTTTGTACAAATGGAAACAGACCATGTGAACTATGTGAAAGATTCTGCAATTTATTTTTGTCATTTATTGTAGAGGTGGTTCTATAGTGTATACAATTTTTTCCCCCTGACTGCATAGTATTACACTGTAACACAGCTTAACCAATCCCTGTTGACAGGCTATTTTTTTCCCTTTTTTTTTTTTTTTTTTTTTTGCAAGCAGAGCTGTAAAAAATAATCTACAAAGGGCCTCACTGGTGGCACAAGGGGCTAAGTTACAGCACTATGAAGCTGTCCGCAGCCACTGCAGCACGAGTTCCATTCCTGATCCCCAGCTGGGGAGCTGACCCACATGGCACAGCAGACCTCTCCTGTCTCACCCGCTGCTCCCTCAGAAGTGTATTTCAGTGGATCCACCTGTTCAGTTCCCCACTCTGTCTGTCCTGCATCCTCTCACACTCCCCCACCTCCTGCCCTGCACCTCTGGCCTGTATCCCAGTTCTTGTATGCATAAATAGATAAATATTTTTATATAGATTTATTTAATTATACAAGCACTGGGTGCAGTCAGAAGTGCGGGAGGGTGAGAGAATTCACCAGAGCCAGAGCAGGGAACAGAACAGGCAGACTGATGAAGAAGTACACTGCTGAGGGGAGCAGCGGGCAGGAGAGGTCTGCGCGCCATGTGGGACCCTAGTCCTGTGGCCAGGGATCGAACCGGCGCTGTAGAGGCTGCGGGCAGCTTCGCAGACCAGCGCCCTCAACCGCAGCGCCACCGGGGAGGCCCTAGATAAATCTTAAAAAAAAAAAAAAAAAAAAAATCTGCACATTGGGCCTCCCCGTGGCGCAGTAGTTGAGCGCTGGGCTGCGAAGCTGCCCGCAGCCTCTGCAGCACCAGTTCGATCCCGGCTCCTCCCCGGCCACCAGCGGAGGGTCCCACATGGCGCGCAGACCTCTCCTGCTGCCCGCTGCTCCCCTCAGCAGTGTACTTCGGTCCTTCTGCCTGCTCTGCTCCCTGCTCTGGCTCTGGTGAATTCTCTCACCTTCCCGCGCTTCTGACTGTACCCAGTGCATGTATAAACAAAACAAACAAACAAATAAATAAATAAAACATGCCTCTATTAAAAAAAAAGAATTAAAAAAAAAAGGCTATTAAAAAAAAAAACCATAAAAGTAGACTCTACTGGGACAGGATTTAGGCTGACACCTGGGTTTGTGCTTACCAATTTGCAAATCGAAGACACAACCTCCCCAGTAAGTGCTCATTTCATTTTAGCTTTATCATGTTTTCCTGGTCAACATAACCCAGGCCTGGCTCTACCTTACCTTGGTCCCATAATCTTAACTCTGGGCTAGGACTCATATAAAAGAGCCAAGATTCAGTAGCATCTAGTTGGTTTGATGGTTTTTTTTTTTTTTTTTTTATATATAGAGGCATGTTTTATTTATTTATTTGTTTGTTTATACATGCACTGGGTACAGTCAGAAGCACGGGAGGGTGAGAGAATTCACCAGAGCCAGAGCGGGGAACAGAACAGGCAGAAGTACACTGCTGAGGGGAGCAGCGGGCAGCAGGAGAGGTCTGTGCATCATGTGGGACCCTCCTCCGGTGGCCAAGGAGCAGCCGGGGATCGAACCGGCGCCGCAGAGACCGCGGGCAGCTTCGCAACCCAGCGTTCAACCACTGCACCACTGGGGAGGCCCAGCATCTAGTTGGTTTGAAGATAAGAAGTCAAGTCACCCATTTAAGGGACAAGTGGAGGAAACAATTTGGTAATATAGCCCCTCCAACTACAGTACACTGTAGATACTCAGTATTTATTAGCTAAGCCTGAGAAGATGAAGGCAGAACACTAGGAGATAAACCAGAGGTACCATTTTTCAAAAGCCAAGGGAGAAATACTTCAAAAGAGGAGAGTGGTCAAACATGCTAGAAAGAAGGCAAGCCAAAGTCTGAGAAGTGACTGCTGAAGTTAGGGACAAGATGATGAGCAGTTTCTTGGGATGGTAGGATAGGCATATCCTGGTAAATGTTGAACAATCAACTCCCCCCAAAAAAGTATGCATTTATGTCTGTACATAAGATCATTATAAATTTTAATGATTTAAAGGATGTGTAACACAGTACTTACAAATAATAATAAAATACACAAGTCTTTAATATAAATTCCACTCTTGTATCCATGACTTCATAAACGGAGTTGTACACTAACTACAAGTGTAGCTCCAACATGAATGTTGCTTGACATTTTTACTTACATTTTTTTTTTTTCCTTTTTTTTTTTTTTTTTTTTTTAATAGAGGCATGCTTTTATTTATTTATTTGTTTGCTGGTTTGTTTGTTTGTTTTGTTTATACATGCACTGGGTACAGTCAGAAGCGCGGGAGGGTGAGAGAATTCACCAGAGCCAGAGCGGGGAGCAGAGCAGGCAGAAGGACCGAAGTACACTGCTGAGGGGAGCAGCGGGCGGCAGGAGAGGTCTGCACGCCATGTGGGACCCTCCTCTGGTGGCCGGGGAGCAGCCGGGGATCGAACCGGCGCCGCAGAGGCCGCGGGCAGCTTCGCAACCCAGCGCTCAACCGCTGCGCCACCGGGGAGGCCCTTTACTTACATTTTTGAGTGAGATAAAAATGAAACAATGAAGGTATGTTCGAACTTCACTGGTTCCTCAAGGCTTTGAGTTGTCTTCTTTACTGAATTTGATAATAGTTTCCAAATACTGGGAGAATATTTCCTCAAAATTTTGTGTTGCTTATAATATAATAGTTACAGACATGTCCTATAAGTTGAATCTATATTTTAAACATTTTCTCCATCATTTTATTAAATCTATATAACAAAGCCTGATATGGAGCATTTGCCAATTTCTGTGGTGAAAATACTCCCACCAAGGCCAATTTCAATCTACCACCTTGATGTCAATAAAGGAGTTGGGGGCCTCCCTGGTGGCGCAAGGGGTTAAGATGCAACCTATGAACTATCCGTAGCCACTGCAGCATGAGTTAGATCCCGGCCTGCCAGGGAGCAATCCACATGGCGCAGCACACCTCTCCTGACTTGCCCGCTGCTCCCCTTAGCAGTGTATTTCAGTCAATCCGCCTGTTCTGTTCCCCACTGTCTCTGGTGAATCCTCTAACACACACCCCATACCTCTGGCCTGTACCCCAGCTCTTATATGCATAAATAAATAAATCTTAAAAAAAAAAAAAAAAGGAGTTGGGAGAGATACACAGTAGTACATCATTAGGTAGTATTTCTACCATACAGATACCATGAATATAAATCATCTCAAGACACACAAAGGTATAGTAAAATAATCAGGAATGAATTTTGAGTATTTATTAACTGTTTTTAAATGTAGTTTAATTATAAGTTTACATAATTTTTGATAGTAGCTCGCTCACAACGTTTCTAAAAAATAAAAGGTGAGCTTTCACAAATTGGTGAAATACGTCACTGGGTGGGAGTGAAAGCAAAACTGAAGTGGGATGCGACTTCCTGATCAAGCCTCTAATCCCTGAGAACATTCATCCCGTGTGACATTGTAGAATTTTAGATTATTGTGATTTGTTTGTATAATACTCAATAGCATGTATGTCTTAATAATCTCCTTTTGAACTTGTTCTTGTCATGTGCTAACAGGCAGAAGTACAGTGTTCTCATTAGATAGTAACTGAACAACAGGGGAGCTTTACCAGGTCCCAGGGAGTCCTCCCACTCCCAGCAAGTGACCCTTCTTGCTATTAGCGATTACTTTATAGAAAACCAATGACAGTTAAAATGACTTTCTTGCTCCTTTAAGCTTTTGAAGTAAAAAACGCTAACGAATAACCAAAGTTATGGTGTGAAAACACAAACAAGACTAGACATCTGTTAAGGATCATAACTATGTTAGAAAAAAGAAACCCACTGACACTTCCTAACCAAGCTCGCAAGACAAATTCTAACAGTTACCAGGAATTTAAAATGCAAAGATCGTCAGGAAGAATCAGAAAGGAGCAACCAGGGTGTTGCGAGCCCTGGTCACGCAGAGACGCTAATCACGAATCATGCGAGCTCCAATCATCATATTCTATCTGCCCTCCCGAAGGAGGAACAGGTAAGGATTATCCTACCTGACGATAGCACGGGTTTGTGTAGAGATCCGCACCCCGTGAACAAGATTCCGCTAACAGCTAGGGTGAGTACATAACTTGTTACTCTGAGCAAGCTAACGTAATTTAGATTCTTCCATTCCTGTTTCTACATTGTTGCAGCTCTTTAAAATATGTTTTCTTTTCCATTTGGCACCCGAGAAGGGACAAACAAATTCCTCCCAGAATACTCCACTCACTTCCGAAATCGCTACTTTAGCCATAAATGCTACTTATTTACATGTCTCCGCCCATCCTCTTCCGCCAGCCCTCTACCGTAATACCCAAAATAAAAGCGATACCTAGTGTCTTTCTGCCGCAGTGGAAAACATCCTTCCGTTTCTCCAGTAGTTTGGTCTCCTGAAATTTTTATATCTTGATCGTACTATAAAATATAATTTATTACAAATGACTAAATAAAAATCTGATAATCCCAGAGAGTTTATCCTAACACTGCTGTCCTCCAACAAATGCAGTTGTAGAGGGAGAGTCGAAGCTGATGCATTCTTTCTTCCAGAAACGATGACTGGTCCTTCCCTCCTCCAGCCTGGATCCCTCCGTTCCCGTAGTAAGATGATCAGAAAGGTTTCTTTTTCAGCCCAAAGACGCTGACGAATAATGCCATTTCAGTGATAGCTGGGAGGGCACTGCAGAAGATACATGGTGGTTTCAGGGACCCTTCCAAAACAACAATAACAAACAAATTCCCAGACTAGATATCACACCACAAAGTACAGCTGGAAGATTGGGAAACTTCAAAAGCTACAGGATGCTGAGTGGATCTGATATCTCAGACATGGAGTACAGGGCTGAGTTGGGGAAAGCTTCAAATTTAAATAACCCTACCCCATGCGCTACTGTACCTGCAGAAGGCAAAAATGTACCAGTATGTGGTGCACTCCCAGCGCTCGAATATGAAAAATGACAGGGACACCGACGCACTACAATGAGCCCCAATGGCTTGGAACACACCAGAGTCAAGGAAAGACTTTGGCTAGATTGGTAGGGGTGGGGTGGAATAGGTCAGTGGTGGGGTTGACATCTACATTCAGTTTCACCTTTTGCTCTCTTACCATATTCCAAAGGCCAGAGCTGGCAGCCTTGTCCTCCAAGTATTAGGACAGCCATGTGGGTAGAGGCTGAGTCTTCACAGCTGGGACCCCCAGGCTATCCCTAGCCCCAAACCCTGAATCACCCTCCAGCATCCTGGTCTACAACTCAAGTGCTAAGAGCTTTCCCTAATCCAGCTTTGTCTCTTCTGAGTTTCCAGTGTTTTATATCTTCACACTCTCTTATAGCACAGTGCATGTAACAATGAATTACAGATGTCTGTGGCCTGCCTCTTCCACAATGTAGAAAACTTCATGCTACTCCCATTTGGAAATCTCCAGAGCCTGTTTATAAAAAAATGTCCAAAGATTGTATTAAATCTTCTGCAAATTGCCTCGGAACCTCTTCAAACTGGAGAGATTCTCCCTGTGTAGGCAGACACTACTATGCCAGAAAAGTTTAATGTTCAAAGAGAGTTATCATGGAAATGGATCATGTGGGAAAGGTGCACAGGCAGAAAGGATACAGATGAGACTCTGGGTGCTGTTGAACATGGAAACTCCTGAGAAGAAACCAGCTAGCTCCACTGCAAAGAGGCCCAAGGTGACAGAGAGTGCTACCACCAACCTGCAGAGAGGAAGGGGGTTGGCTCAAGTCTTCTGAACTTCTAAGACCCCTCCACTCCCACTGCTGCTTAATTCTACCATCCCGCCCTAAGTGCTCACTGAATGTCCTGCTTCTCATACTCCTCTGGGGTGAACGTAAGAGGCAGGCAGGCCTGGATGTTGCTGTCCTGGGAAAACGAAGAGGAAGAGAAGTGAAAGAGGGGCAGGCTGCAGGGCAGGTCTGGGGGCAACGGGGGTTGGGAAGACCCGACCCGGCGTGTCTCAGGGGAAGGGGCAGGGTGGGGCTGGGACCACCCAGAGGTGGGATAGATGAAAGGAAAAGGATGGTCTAGGGTCTTACCCGGGACCAGAATAAGGTGATAACGACCACCAGGTGTGCCAGGAGCGTCAGGAAGCGAGAGGGCACGAGCCCCGAGATCTGGCCCATGGCCTCGAGCAAAGGCCGTGATCTCTGGGGCTGGAAGTTCTGATATGGCCACTCCTGAAGTCTCCTAGGATAGCAGGCAAAAATTCGACAAAAGCCTCCTTCCCGCTCGCGCAGGCACCGCCCAGTTGCCTTGACAACCACGTAAGTGGACGCTACGATCAGATCTCTGAAAATCTCGCGAGAGCAGAATACGCCTGCGCAGTGGGCCTCGGGGAGAGGCCAGGGCTAGAGTCCTGCGATGGGTGGGTTCCTGTCCTCACTGCCTCTGCCTAGTGCGCTGCCGAGCGTCCGGCCCCTGAGCGTGTGCGGTGTGGCGCTGCTCGCACTGCCGAATCTGCCCACGCAGGCCCGCTGAACGGACACCTGCCTTGCCCTAGCCCGGGCCGCCCGTTGCTCCCGGGAGGCGCACTCCAGGAGCGGCTTAGCCCCCAGCCCCCGTTGCGTTGCCCCGGATGACCCTCGGAGTAAGACTTGCCCTCTGGGCTCTGCTGTCACCTCCATTTGGGCTTAGGGCACCGCCTTGCCCGAGGCGTGGACAGTCTCTTCCCTGACCCACTCCGCATTCCCGGAGTTGTAGGGCACCGGAAGTGGGGAGACTGATGTCCCTACGTTGTCCACCTGTCGCTTATTGTCAGTGGAGCTCCTGGTTGTGTGAACCGTCCTTAGTTCTGATTTCACCCCACCCGACTCCCCAGTCAACTTTGCTCAGTTTCGTAAGAGGTTTGCAGACTGTAGAAGATGGTAGCAGTCTTGAACTCGGATGTGGATGAGAGGCGTGTTTCGGAGAAGAGAGTGGACGAAAGGGGCCTGAGTGGAGGAAGGGAATGGTTCCTTACGTCCCTGTAAAGCACAGACTCTGCTCCGATTTCCCTGTGTCTTTCAGGTGTGTGCACCCAGCCTTGTCCAGCTCCAAGACTTTTTACTGTAGGTGGCCTCATTGATCTCTGGGCCACAGAACAGAAAGTTCTAGCCTGACCACTTTGCTCAAATCCCAAGCTGCTTTTTTTTTTTTTTTTTAAGATTTATTTATTTATGCATACAAGAGCTGGGGTACAGGCCAGAGATGCGGGGGTGGGGTGGGGTGGGGTGAGAGGATTCACTAGAGACAGAGTGGGGAACAAAACAGGCAGACTGACTGTAATACACTGCTGAGGGGAGCAGCGGGTGAATCAGGAGAGGTCTGCTGTGCCATGTGGGTAGGCCCCCGCCTGGCCTGGGATTGAACTCGTGCTGCAGAGGCTGCTGATTGTGGTGCTGCAGAGACTGCAGATTGGGGTGCTTCATAGTGCATTGCTTAACCCCTTGTGCCACCAAATCTCACCAAATCCCAGGGAGGCCCGAAATTCCAAGCTTCTTAGGACCTCTCTGTCCACTTCCCAGAAGAACGGTATCTTTTCACTCCCCATCTGTGTGCTTTTAAACTGGTACAAACTATTTTAAAGAGGAGTTTCTGATTCATGTATTCACATATTGATTGACCAACTAGTAATGCCAGGTGCTCTTCTGGACTCTTGTCCTTGCTGAACAAGACAGAATTCTCTACGTCTTTAGCATTTATATTCTAGTCAAGATGATCAACACAGGGGAACAAATCCATGTGGTAATAAGTGCTATAAATAACACACTTTCTGCAGCTCTCCTCCCCACCTGTGACTATGCAGCTGTCTCTCTTTTTCTCCTTTTCCTAATAAACCTATCCTTAAAAAAATAAAAACCCACTTTTTAAGGGAAGCACTAGAATAATATGATCAAAGAAAGGCTTTTCGGAAATAGGTCATTTATTCTTAAACGTTGTTTTAGGAAATATGGACAAATTGAAAGGAAATGCATTTCTCTCTCCCAGGTCCCCTATGTAACAAGTGGAGTTCCTTTTTTCTAAACCCATGGGTGAAAAAAAGAGATAGTCAAAAGATGTTTCCTCAAGGTCACAAAGGACAAAGATTGAGGAACAACATTTCCAGATTAAGGAAGACTTAAAGAGATGTGACAAATTTAACATGACAGATTTGATATGTGAACCTAATGGATCCTGGCCCCCCACACTTCAAAAACACTTATTATAAATAACATTCATGGAACAATTGGTAATATTTGAGTAAGGGCTCTAGTACAGATAACAGTACTGTAATTTTCTGATATTTTATAATTCTGTACTTTGGGAATAGAATAGCTAGAAAAAGTTATAGTAGTACCTTTAGATAGAAGAAGACAATGACAATGCAAATGTAGTTTTGGTGAAGGCACATGGGAATTCTCTGTATTCTGCACTTTTCTGTACGTCAAATATTTTAAAATAAAAATTTTTAAGTAATTAGCCTTTTAAGGTTTTCCTTCCAGGTTTTATCCTGTATTATCAATGAGACATTAGGTTAATTTTATAAAAAGAAAGAATGAGTGGGCCTCCCCTGATGGCGCAGGTGGTTGAACGCAGCACTGTGAAGCTGAGCGCAGCTTCCGCAGCGCAGGTTCAATCCCGGCCGGCCGGTGAGAATCCCACATGACGCTGCAGACCTCTTCTGTCTAGCACACTGCTCCTCTCAGCAGTGTATTTCGTCAGTCTGCCTGTTCTGTTCCCTGTTCTGTCTCTGGTGAATCCTCTCACCGTCCCGCGCATCTGGTCTGTACCTTGGTTCTTGTATAAATGAATAAATAAATCTTTAAAAAAAAAAAGAGAATGAGTTCTAAGAGTGAGGGTCCATATTTGTTAAACTCCTACACATCAAAACTATATAATGGCATTTTCATATACAATTACCTCTTAAAAAAATAAAAGTAAAAGTACCTCTTTAGAGGGCAGTATAACCTTTCCCTTAATATGAAGACAGTATGATCACCAAAACTCATAAAATAAAAAAAAGCTTAGCAAAGTTTCTATTCTCTACTCAAAAAATACTGGATAATAATAAAATATTACCTAGTTTTTATATACACACCCAAATATTCTCTGGTTTGTAAGTTCTCAGGTATATAGGGGAGGTTCTCTCTTTAATTCATTGTAAAGTTCTGAAAATATTTAAAAACCGGTTCTATCTCAGGAGAGATAGGCAAATCCATCAAGTATTGTGGACACACTATGACCTTGAAGTAATCCTGGTTGCTATTCGACCATCAAAATGAGTGATAATGATTATAAATAAAGTACAATGAGAGGTGGGTTTTCTGTGTGTACTTTCACGTGGAAGATACAGTCTCACAATATAGAGCAGATGCAAGGACGGCATGCCTCATGCTTTTCGTCCCTCTACCTGTAACTTGTACGTATCTTTCTTCATGGGAACGGCTCAGGGTTTTAGAGCCCAGGTCCCCAGTGACTGTTTAACAAATTTCTGACTATTCTCAAATGAAAGAAGCACTATTACTGACTGAAAGTAAGGAAAGCCCAGAATCTGCTTTTGCAAGATTTTCCAAGGTCCCAGGAACAAACAGAACAAAGAAGTCAGCAGTATCAAGATCCTGAGAAAGAACATTCCAGGTAGAGAAACAGTACAAAGACCCTTAGTGGGAATAAGCCTAGAAAGGAAGCTAGTATTTCTGAAACCTACAATAGTAATAAAAGATCAGGATGAGGTGGGCTGGATAAACAAGGGTCCGATCATGCAGCCAAGGGTAAAGACACAGCAGAAATATATTCTGGAAGGTGATTTTGGTTGCAACATGGAGAATGGATTAAAAAGATTTTAACAGAAAGCTAGTAAAGAGCCAGATAATTATCCAGAAAGGACAGAAAGGCTAGAGTCAAGAGAGAGAGAAAAGATAGAGTCAAGAAGGTGGAGTGGAAAAAAAAGAAGGTGGAGTGAAGTGGAAGGAATCAAGAGACAGCAGAAAAGATGACATGGAACTTGGGGCTGGCTGAAAAAAGGAAGGTGTCAAGGACTGTCAGATTTTGGGCTCCAGAAGCTAAAGAATGGAGGTATTTTGCTTATAATAGGCTTCCTGCCTAGGGGACTTATTAGATAGTAATGTTTCATATTGTGAATTAACAGTCTACATTTAGCTCTGTCTAGTCATTTTCCATGACCTTGGGTCACAGAAGCCTGACCTAGAAAGATCTCAAAAAAGTGAGTTTTGGAGCCGGCCTGTGGCCATAGGAGGTACAACAGGTGTACTCCCTTTAGGGCTTGAACCCAAGTGTCCTGAAATTTGAGCTAATCATGAAAGAACTTAGAAAACAGTTATCCTAGAAAAATTTCAAACATGTTTTTAAATAAGAAAATAGTATAACGAACCCTTTTGAAGTCTGCCATTTGGCTTCAACAATTACCAGTTCTTGGCTAACCTTGTTTCAGCTATTCTGTCCTCAGCCCCACTAAATTATATTGAAGCAAGTCCTGGACATGACCAAATAGTTCAAATTGCCTGACTATCTCATATGTATATATTTCACAGTTTGTTTTGAACCAGGGTCCAAATAAAGTCTACACATTATACCTAGTTGGTGTGGCACTATTTTTTTAAAGATTTATTTTCTATTTATGCATACAAGAACTGGGGTGTAAGCCAGAGGTGCGGGGGGTGAGAGGATTCACCAGAGATAGAGTGGGGAGCAGAAGAGGTGGATGGACTGAAATACACTGCTGAGGGGAGCAGTGGGCGAGACAGGAGAGGTCTGCTGCGCTATGTGGGTCAGCTCCCTGGCTGGGGATCGCTTGTAGTGCTGAGACTTTAAGCCCTGAACCACCAGGAAGGCCCTGTTGCTATATATATAAATATATACATATATATATATATTAGGAGAATATTTATTATTTTTATGTACAGAAGATGCAACAGTGTACGCTTAGCCCAGTTTGGTAATGTTCTGTAGCCTTTGCCTTTCCAGCCTGGCAATTCAAACCAGCATGTTGCCTCCACAGTGACTGGATTTCATCATATCTGGTAATTTCCACCAACTTAGTCAGGGCTCCTTTGACTTCTGAGTTAACCTGTGTGAAGATGGCAGTTGTATAAGTCTTCCTGTGGATGAGATGCCCCAGTCTGGCCCTTGCCTTGACAATGCATTAGGAAACCCCATTCATCTGACACAGGGCAGGCAGGAAGATGACCAGTTCACTGGGATACACATCATGTACAGTCACCATCTGCTGAATCTTGTTCTCCATGAAGGCATGACAGTATCAACCTCTGCCTCACGGACAGATGGCCTTTTAGTGGGGATATCTCTTTTGCCAGCAGCTTTCTTATCAGCCAGGGCTTTTCTTGCTTTGTCTCTGGTTTGTACTACTAGGCCAGCTTAAGCAGTTGAGTGGCTGTTTGGCAGTCCAAGGCCTGGGTGAAGTGGTTAATGGCACTTTCAGCCTCTTGTAGGGGATAGCCTTTAGTAGCTGCAGCCAGATGTAGCAGAGCCACTTGACAAAGTAGATGAGGTCCCTTTTGGGCTGGATGTCCTATCCAATGCTAAAATTCTTGGACCTTTTCTCAAAAAGGGAATTTACCACCTTCTTGGCCTCCTGTTCCTTCATGTTCAGCAAGGACTGGAACCACCTTCTTCCCCTAGGCCTCTTTCATTTCTCCATCTTGGGTGGCTGCAGGAGAGAGAATGACAACTCTTAAAACTCTTTCATCTTTGGTTCTTTCTACTGCCTCCTCCCTCCTTGTTTTCTTGCAATTTATCTGTTGAAGACTAAGCCTTTTGTGGGGTCTATTATGGTAATGTCAATTAATATATCCCTCTACTTTTCTGCTTTTCCTGTACTAGTGATTGATCTAGTGATTGATCGGTCTCACGTCCAATTTTTTGATAAAAATGCATCGTGGGTGGTGGCTTGTATTTTTTATTTCATCACATCAGGAGGCTCATAATGCCCATTTATCTCTCATTTTCATGTTCAGTCTGAGCAGTGGGTTCAGGTATAGTCATACTGAAGCAATTTTTATAAGTTCTCCATTAGCTTTTCACCTACTGGTTCAATTGAACATCTCTGCCTAATTCCACTTCATGAGGGGTTTCAAAATGGGCATATCCTAATTCTATCATTCCTTCTGCATTTATCACCCGGGATTCTTCTATAAATAAGAATGTGTGCTCATCAACTCACTGCTTGCCATAAGGTAGAGGTCATACAGGAAAGGCAGGATAAATGTGTGACTTTTTTTCCTACTGTTGTTTACCAGTTTTCAGAATAATGAGTTGGTTTCCTAGCATCCTCTAAAAAGGAACTAACTAGTTGTTTTTAGGATCATTGTGAACTTGTGGATTTTAATATCTTGTCTGTGTTTCAGCCCATCGCAGTTGTTACTATTTTTTTTTAAGTAGTCACATTTTTATTGAGTGGCATAAAACATACAGCTCAACATTGTTACTTTCATTTGCAAATGGAATAGTTGAGAAGATAATCATGACTATCTGCCATCACATTATCACATCACTCACATTCAGGTTTCTGCAGGTCTGGAATTGTCTTCATAGTGGATAGGAGTATGCAGTGGGAATTCCAGTTAGCATTTTGAGAGAGAGAGAGAGAGAGAGAGAGATATCAGAGGAATCCACACAGTCGAGTTGTCTTAATATTAAGGATTTAAGGACTTCTGGGTTTTGTTCTTGGAGGAGGTCAGGATCTTCCCATATCCTGGGTCATCAAATATTCTTCCTGTCATAGAAAGTGGAATCCTTTTTCTCATATCTCGTAGTGTAATTCTGATGATACTTGTTCATTTTCAGTTTTTCTAAATCAGGATAAATACATGGGAGCCCCACAGACATGAGACTCCGGTTATTCTTTTGATGCTCTGAATATTGGTCAGTGGAATCCTCTTCAAATTGTTTTTTTTTTTTTTGATGAACTTTACACAACAAAAAGTTAACCATTTTCAAGTATACAGTTCAGTGACATTTAGGTACAGATAAGGAAACAGAGGCACAGAACAACATATCTACCTTTCTGCAGTTCCTTGAATCTATAATCTATGACACCAGATTTGTGGATCTACTCTGATTTGAGAATCTGAGCTCTTAACCACATAACCTCTTACCTCTAGTCATTATAATCTGTAATCATTTGATTTACTACTTTACTGATTTTGTCTCTCCTAAACACAATAAATGAGTGCAACAAATAAATGAAGTGCCTACCAAAGGAGAAGAGGCTGTAAAATGTTGCCCTGAGTCAATTAAGGACAGTTATCTCTAATAAATTTTGGTAGACCTACTGTGAAGAATGTACCCACACTTAGCTTGGAAGGGAAAGAGAAAGATACAGGATGGCTTCTTTTGCCATATTGGCCTGTTGAAGTGCTCTCATCCTTCAAGAGACAAATGGAGTCTCTCTGAACTTCTTGGTTTGGTATCTCTCTTTGTAAGTTACCAGCTCTATGTCATCTGGGAGATTAAAAAAAAAAAAAAAAAAAAAGGGTTGTTTCTTAGCCGGGATCGCCTGGAAGGGACATAAGAGAAACTTTCTGGGGCGAAGGAAAAGTACCATAATCTTGAAAGGGTTACGGGTCTCCAAAAGATACATTTTAAGATCTGTACATTTTTGTATGTGTAAGTTATGCTTCAAAATTGTAGAATGTGACAAAATACCGATGACAGATCTCTGCCCTGCACCGCTCAAATCAGAATCTCTGAACCTGGAGCTTGTGCGTGGCTATTCAGAAGGCTGGTCAGGGGGTTGTAACGTGCAACCAGGGACTGAAACGCGCCACTAGAGGAGATAATTTCTTACCCGTTCAGGTTGTCCCGCTCTCTAGCATGGCTGCATCACGTTCGGCCGAGTCCCTGTCCTTCCATCCGTTTTGTGCAAAAATCTGCCCCTCTGGGCTGTGAAGCCTGATTTCTCCAGGAGACCTAGGCCTTCCGAGTGGTCGTCAGCAGGACGCCAGGGATCGGGTCATAGGGACAGCTGAGCCCTGAGCCCGCAAAGAGCTGCCCTGCGGGGTGCGGGGGACCCCGCTCACCCACCGCACGCTTGGGAGAGAACAGGCACACACTGGAAGCACTTTAGAAATTCAGAAACGTCCTATAGCTCTTGCGCCGCGATCTCCAGGACCCGGGGTCGCCTGGACGACAATTGGCCATGAAGTGACCTGTCCACCCATGCGGCCAGCCGACCTCGTGGCGCAACGGTAGCGCGTCTGACTCCAGATCAGAAGGTTGCGTGTTCAAATCACGTCGGGGTCAGCCTACTTATTTACGCTCCCCTGCAACCACCAAGGTTTCGTTTGCTTTTATTTACTCCCACATTCCCCGCTAGGTTCGAGCCCAGAGACCCGAGAAGAAGGATCTTGTAGGGGCTGGAAAAGGAGGGCTCCGGTGCGACGTGTAGATCCTCCTCATGCGGGATGCCCAACGGTCTCGCGGTCGTTTTTACGGCAGGTCGGTGCACGGTGAGTTTGGGCCTGAGGCCCGGCACACGCTCGGGATTGCACAGCACGGAGGAAGCAGGGTCGGATGCTGGGGGCCGCGAGGTCGCTTGGACTGACAACACACTGAGTGGTTTTCGCGGTATTGGGGAGAATGTCTCCAAAAGCGCGCTTCATGAATCCTCAGTGGGTTCACGCTTACTCAGGAGTCGGAGCTCAAACCCCAGAGAGAAGAACCGAAAGCGTTTTCCCGTAGACGAGGTGGCCGAGTGGTTAAGGCGATGGACTGCTAATCCATTGTGCTCTGCACGCGTGGGTTCGAATCCCATCCTCGTCGGTTTGCGATGGCCTGATGCCGGCGTTCAGTTTTGTAATCCAGAAACCAAGAATTTATCGTCGCTTTTCCGCTCCCCAAATTCATTATTTCCGTCACCTCTCCACTGATTTCATGTTCCCCCTCCCTTTTACCTCATTAACTTGACCAATAATTGATTGTAAATGGCCCTTTAGCACTCACCTGTCCTGAAACTGACTTGGCCAGGGAAATAATATACCAGCGGCTGGCGAGGGGGCGCCGTGGCTTAGTTGGTTAAAGCGCCTGTCTAGTAAACAGGAGATCCTGGGTTCGAATCCCAGCGGTGCCTCCACGGTATTTCCTGCTTTTGTGTATATACTGCGTGGGGCGCCTCTAGCCATCAGGCATTGTATCTCCCGCATGTCAATCAATCCTTTCACTTCAGTAATCGACCAGGAGCTGTCAAGCTGTCCAACAACCAAAGCCGGTTGTTTGTGTGTACACTATGTGTATATTATACGTTCCGCGTCCTACGTTTGTAACCCTAGCTTCCGCCAATCGCCGAAGTCTGTACTCGTAAGTACTACGACTCGGCGCTTTTCAAGGTAATTCGTATTTCATTTCATTGCTTCCCTGAGAAAAAATTTTGCTTACAGGACAGAGCACTCATTTGTCTTCTATACAGGTTTATGTGGCCACAACCAGCTAAGCCGGCCGGTTAGCTCAGTTGGTTAGAGCGTGGTGCTAATAACGCCAAGGTCGCGGGTTCGATCCCCGTACGGGCCAGTGTCTTTTCAAATATTTTCTAGACATTGTGTAAATAATGAGGAAGACTTGTGGAGCATTTCCAAAGCTGGAACTTTTTACACCCAAAGAGAAAAGTACTGAGATTCAGCCCTAAGTATAGCTATTTAGAAAAGAATGGGGAAAGTTTAAAAGGAATCAGTTTTTTCTAAATCTCCTAACCACATGGTAGGTCTCCTGGAATTTGTTATTTGAACTGTAAATAGAAGGCCGCCAGGATTATAACAATGTCTCAAAACAGACATATAACACTGATTAGAGGAATGTGGGAAATGGAATTAAGAATGGAACTAACGAGGGGGTCCCAGTTTTCCTCCAAAATCAAGATACTCTATTTGCCTAGCCCCTGGCTGTCCACTCCAGGACCTAATAGGACCCCTTCCCTTCCTCTTCTGGAGAATTTGCTTCAGTTTTTTCTGACTGGCCCTCTGAGCCCATTTCTGTGATGTGCATTTCCCCTAAGATTCACTGCCTGAGAACAAGAACCATATCCACCCCACACCACTCCCAGCACCAGTCCCAAGGGAGTTCCATGGAAAAAGAGCAAGGCTCACTCCCATTCCTTTGGCTCATCAATCCCTGACCCCATACAGACTCAGCCTCAGCCTTAGCAGCAGCAGCACTTTAATTCCACAAAAACTCAGAAAGCCAAAACTGATTAGAACACTCCACAACAGGTGGGCTTCAAAACCAGCAGCAATACTACCTGAACCCTGAGAGCAGAGAAACCCCTCCCAATTCACCCCCTCCGTCATGCAGTGCATTCCTCCTGGTGCCACTCCATTCTGACTGGGGAAGGGGCATGGCAGGGGGCTGGAGCGCAGAAGCAGATTATCCATCTGCAGGTGTGCATCCTCCTTTGAGTGGTGTGTGTCTAAGGGCCACTCAACTTCCCACAGCCCCTGGCACCTGAGATGTAGCCACTGGAGTCAGGATGGCCACAGTGGGGGGGGGGGCCTCCTCTGTTCTACTTTCTTGGTCACATATTGCAATAATATCCTCCAAGTCAAGACCTAAAACCCTGGGTTCCCAGTGATGGTGTTTTAGTTAGGGAACAAAGTTGGGGAGAACAAGGTGGCTACAGAGAGCCAACTAAATAGAAGCAGAGCATCATCCCTTCCCACTAAGAGAAAGTACAGAACTCCCCCATATACACCTGCAACAAAAACCCCGAGAAGGGGGGCCGGGCCTGCTAAATTCATCTGGAAGAGCCTCCAACATCCAGGCTTTCCCTCAGCCGGCAGTTCCCATTAGGGCTCCTTGAAGAGTCCTTAGGGTCCTGGTGGCCCCTGGCCTGCTTTGGCCAGGCCTCCCTTGCACTCATGGTCACTTGCACAGGGCCTCCAACACCTCCAGGGTGCGTCGGATATCCCGAACTTGGCGCGCCAGCCCCTGAACCGGCTGTAGAGCCCTCTCTAGCTCCTCGCAGCGCGCCAGCAGGGTGTACATGCCCTTGATGCTCATGTCCACGGCTTCGCCTAGGGAGTCCACGGCGTCACGGTAGGTCTGGATGCAGCCCACGCTCAACGCTGTCAGCTCCTGTACCGCACCACCCAGCCCGCGCAGCAGACGGTCCACCCGGCCACCCAGCTCCCGACTCAGCCGCTCCAGGTCCCGCAGCACGTCGGGGTCGATGGGGGGGATGGCTGGAGTGGGTGGAGGGGCTGAGCAGGGCCGCGCAGGGGCAGGGGGCAGAGGTTGAGGGGCAGCGCTCAGACGAATCTTGAGTTGCAGGTTGTTGGCCACGAAGTGGGTGAGGTCGCCATGGCGGCTCACCGTGCCCTCGAGCTCCAGGGGACTGGAGATGGTGGCGCGACGCCCGCCGCCGGCGCCGGACTCAGCAGCCGCTGTGGACCCCGCGCCTCCGCACGCCCCACTCAGTCCGTCCAGGCTGCGGCTGTCCTGAAGGCGGCTGGAGAAGGACCGGCCAGCCCTGCCGCCCGCCCCCGCCTCCTCGTCTTCTTCCTTCTCCGGCTCCGCATCCATCCCCACGCCTCCGGGGCTCCCTCGACGGCCGACCCTCTCGGATGCGGGCTTTTCCTCCAGAGGCTTTTCCTCAGGTTCCTTGCTCCGGGAGGGCTCCTGCGCGCCGCGCTCTGGCCGCGCCGTTCCCCGGCGGCTCCCGACCCCAGACGGCGTCCCTCCGCGGCCGGGTTCGTCCTCTCGAACCTCCCGTTCCGGCCGGTGGGCGACGCTGCGGCTCGAAGACTTAAGGGACACCCTAAGGTGGCGGCCGGCGCCTCCAGCGTTCTCGGCCTCTTCCTCCCCGGACACCCGGAGGCCTGAGGGCGTCTCAGAGGGCGTTCGGCCCGGCCCGCCACTGGATATCGCGGCTTGCTGCTCCCCCGGAGCCAGAAGGTCCGCCTCGGGCCCAGGCCGGCCCCGGGACGACTCCATGCTGCAGTTAGAGGCTGGAACCGCGGAATCGGCTCGCCTGGCTTTGGGAAGCCCTGGAGGCGCCTTTAAGGGGCGTTGGTAGAGGCGCGCCGATTGGCTGCGGGCTGACAATGGTACGGACAGGAAGAACGTTTTGATTGGTTGTGAGACCAGGAAGTTCCGGAAGAAGAGTCGTCGTTGAGCAGCTTGTCCCATGTGAGCGTCAGCCGGGTTGGCGACGAGGAGGTGACAGCTGCGCTCCTCGCCCCCGCCCGTTCAAAAAGTTGAGGGGGCAGATCTTAAAGTGAAGGTCCTGAAATGCCGGAGTCCCGCGGGGGCGAGGCTCAGGCTCTTTCCGCCCACAGCTGTTGCTTAGCAAACACCCCGAGTGGGTACTAGACGGAATTCCTAGAGGCGTTCTTGGAATGGGCCTAGAGGTGTTCTTGGGACGGTCCTCTGTGACCCATCGGATTTGCACCGCACCTTGTTGATCAAGGACGAAACCGGAATTCTCAGCAAGTGCAGAATCCTTCTGGGCGAGCTAGCAGGCGACTGTAGCGGGCGAACTGCCCACAGCGACTCATGGTGGTCAGCAGGACAAGTGTAAGAGCTTTCCTGTGTTCTTGCACTCTGTTCTTTGCCTCCTGACCCCTCCACGTTTGAGAGTGTCTCTCCTTGAGGAGGATGTGTGATTTTTGCCACGAGGTAAAATACTCTATAAATGACAGCCTTATTTGAAGATCAGATTCCCGATTTCCATTCTGATCTCATTTCTTCCTTCTCTTTCCTGAGCCTGCTGGAGCCTCCTCATTGTTTCCTCTGACAGGACAGACCTCCTCCTGCTTCAGAGATTTACAGTTGCTTTTGCCTTTTTTTTTTTTTTTTTTGTAAAGGCCGAATCTCCAAGAACTATTTTCAACTTGGATATTGCTTCTTAACTTTTAGGGTACCCTTGCTTCTCCTTCAGGTCCTTATTCAAATGTTTCCTTTTCTGTGAGGTCGCCACAACCTTCCTTCCCTGCTTTTCTCCATAGTGCTTATCATCATCTCACTTACTATATATTTGCTTACTTGTTCATGTAGTTCTCATGAGGGTAAGGTTCTTTGTTTTGTTCTCATCTGTACCCTGAGTGTTTAGAACAGTGCCTGACATATAGTAGATGCTCAATAAATATACAGCCAATGACTCCAAACCATTAATATTTCCCTTGAAAATTTGACTTGAACGCGTTCTGTGTTTCTGTCACTTTACATCACAGAGTCCAGACAAATACACCATGAAATCAATGGGCTATTCTAAGCACTTTCCCCCTCTCTGGGACTGATGCCTACTTTGTCTTCCTTTTACTCCTCAACAGGCATATGTTTTTTATTCAACAAGTGACATAACTTAAACCCACACAAAAAAGGGGGAATTTATTATGTTGTGCAATGATGATTTCAAGACAGTGCACAACTGAGAAGTCTGGATTCAGTCCCTGAGGCTGACATGAAGAATCTGTTTTTGGTCGCTAGAGGCAGCTTTTTCTCATGAGGGGTTCCTCATGGTGACAAAATGGCTATGTCATTTCTCATTCATTGCTATTGTTTAGTCTCCTTGGGCTGCCGTAACAAAATATGCCATAACAAAATGCCATAAACCAGGTCTCTTGAACAGATACTTATTTCTCACAATTCTGGAGGCTTGGAAGTGCAAGGCACCAGTTGATTTCAGTTCCTGGTGAGGTTCCTCTTCCTGGTTTGCTCCATGGCGAGCCCTCTGGCCTAATCCTTTTCTCCCTCATGACCTCATCTAAACCTATTTACCTCCAAATAATAATGCACTGGAGATTAGGACTGCAACACATGAATTTTGGGTGGACAAAAACATTCAGTCCATAACACGTAAGGGACATTATTCATTCCTTTTGGCTTCCAGAATCTGAATCCCACCTCATCAGACAGAACCCATTTTCCACTACAAAAGCTGGAAGGCTGAGCAGCTCCTTTCCCAGCTTCCCTAGTGCATGGCTTAGGCTACACTATCGTCTGCTGGGCTTCAGTGGAATTGTTTCTGGCTGGGCAGACTCCAAGCCCAGGCCTCATAGAGATTCTTGGCACTCCTAGAGAATTTGTGAATTACCCAGGATGCCTGTAAGGTCTCTTTTTGCTTAAATGAGCCAGAATTATTTTTTGTTGTGTGTGTGCAGGAACCCTGGTGGATATACTACCATGTCTTCCAGACAGGGAGAAATAACTTCCATTAGACCTTGCAGAATAGCAAGAATAGAACTAGAGTCCCCGTTAATCTCCCTTCCATATCACTGGCCTAAGCTAGTTCACATGCCCAATTTAGTCACTTTGGCCAGGGTTATACCTTGTCTGATTAACTTAGAACTGGGTACCCAGAATCAATCACTTTTACAAGGTGATAAGAACGAATTGATTAGGTCAAAAGTATTATGCTCTTCCTAGAGAGAAGGATGGGCCAGATTTCTCCAAACTCAACTAACTGTAACACAACAGGGGAGGGGAAAAGACTGCGGGGGTGTGACCACAGTGTCCACTGTATCAGGAGTCAGCAGTATGGGCGATGGGCCAAATTTGGCTCACCACTTGCTTTTATATTGCCTGATAGTTAAGAAAGGTTTTTACATTTTTAGGGACCTCCCTGGAGGTGTAGGGGTTAAGTCTCAGCACTATCATGCTATTGCCACTGTGGCCCGAGTTTGATCCCTGGCCAGGGAGCTAACCCACATGATGCAGCAGCCCACTCCCCTCTCCTGTTTTCCTCTATTGTTTTCCCCTGTGCTCCCCTAGGCAGTGTGTTTCAGTAGATCTGCCTATTCTGCTCCTTTAAAAAAAAAAAAAGATTTATTTATTTTTATGCAAGAACTGGGGTACAGGTCAGAAGCTCGGGAGGTTGAGAGGATTCACCAGAGATAGAGTGGAGAGCAGAACAGGCAGACAGACTGAAATACACTGCTGAGAGGAGCAGCGGGTGAGACAGGAGAGGACTGCCGCCCCATGAGGGTATCTCCCTGGCCAGCCAGGAATCAAACCCGCGCTGCAGAGGCTGAGGACAGTTTCACAACGTTGCGCTCAACCTGCTGTGCCACTGGGGAGGCCGGTGGCCTGCTCCCCTTTCTGTCTCTGGCGAATCCTCTCACTCTCCCCCACACCTCTGGCCTGTACCCCAGCTCTTGTATACATAAATAAATCTTTAAAAACAAAACAAAATCTAAAAAATATGAAAAATTCATGTAATGATACAAAATTAAAATCTCAGTGTTCATTATGTTTTACTGAGGTACAGCCTCACTCATTTATGTAGCATCTGTGGTTGCTTTCACACTATAATGGCAGACTAAGTAGTTTCAACAGAGGCTAATTGGCCTGCAAAGTCTTAAATGGTTACTACTAGAATTTTTACAGATGTTTGCCACCTCTTGCACTAAAGATCCCCTCTATAGGCACCTGGGAATTGTGAATTCATGAATCAGAGGAGAATCCAGCTCAGAGCACTTATAGGACATAGTCGGTGAGCTAGCCTAGGAGGATGAGGGAGACAGGGCTATTCCTTCAGGTGGAAAGTGGGGATTTCTAGAGGAAAAAGATCACTGATGTTGAGTGTGGGGTCAGGGAAGGACCCATCTGATTTGACTGAAGAAGTTTTGACTGCTGAGGCGTGAGAGTGAGTGAGAGCCACAGGTCATGGTGAACAAGAGGTGAGGGAGTTAGTATAGATAGTGAGTAGACAATGTGCTTGAGAAATCTTGTTGTGATAGCAAACTGGGAGATAGAAAGAGATGTGGGGTCCAGATAATACATGTTTGGTACATCACTAAATGGTGATACAAATTGTTTAGCAAAAGGGATATGTGATAACTGAAAAGGGAAAAGGAACAATTGCTGGAATGCAGCTGAATGGCAGGAGGACCAGATGCAGAGTACATCTGCAGGGCTGGCCTCTGATGGGGCAGGGCACTTGCACCACTTGAGGGTGGATGTGGGTGTAGCTGACATGTGGGTAGTGGTAGCTTGGGAGTTGGTGGTTGGATTACAAAATCCCTGTCTGATTCCACCGTTTTTTTTTTTCAGAGAAATTTGGAGGGAGTTCATAAGATTGGACACTAGGGGGAGCTTTGAGACTTGGGGAGTTGAAAAACCAACACCTTGGGGAGATTTTTGGGGAGTGTAAGCTAGAAGGTTGCAGGAAAACTGGGTAACCTCCATTGTTGCTGCTGGGAGGGTAAGCAGTTTCACCACCTTGGAAAGCAATTAAGGCAATGTTCAGGTAACATTTACCTGAGGCTTACTCCAGGACCCCAGCATTGCCACGCTCTCCTCAAGATCTTCCTCAGACAAGCTCACACAGGAGCGCAGGAAGGTATGGGGAAGACATAACCACAGTGAAAAGCACTGAAAATAGTCTACAACAGAATGCCTTAAACAAAACAAATCCCTAGTACTATTCACATTAAGGATTATAGTGCAGAAGTTTTAAAAAAGAAAGTATCCAAACTGTCAGAACAAGAACCTTCTAAGGGATAAGGGTAGAATGATATAGCAAAACAATATGTGCAGTGCAATACTATTTACATAAAAGCCCTGCATGTTAAGAAAAAAAGCTGTTTTCCAGAAGTATATATAAATGTAAACACAAAGAAAAGTAGGCTACGAAGATTTTGCCAAGCTGATGTTGGTTTTTTGGAGTTGTTGGGGCCTCCTTTCCAGTTTTTCTATCCTTATCTTTCATCAAATCGATTTAGGATAATTGGAAAAGTAGAATTTTACCTTACTTATTTACAATGAACCATTTGTGTAAACAAAAAAATGAGACAATACAGGGCTTGAACTCAAGTCCTGGGGAAATGAAGACAGGGCATAAGGAACATGAGGCAGCAAGCGTAGGGCCTCTGCCTAAGTGAGGGTAAAGGAGAAATGGGGGCAGAGCACCGTTGCTGGGCGGGGAGAGTGGGCACGAAGCCCCTGTGTTTGGAATTTTACTAACACTTTTGAAATACTCCTGGATCAGGGAAGAAGTCATCATAGTAGAGAATACTGAGAACTGAATAATAATAAAATACACTCC